TTGACCTAAGTGAGAAGAAAATCATAAAAAATTTGTGTAACATTCATTCTTTGTAATATATTATCAAACTTCATAACCTGAATGTGTCCGCACATTAAGATAACAGTTTAATAATAGACTATAAATAATACCTGTCACTAAATGTGTAGTAGTGTTTTCATAATGTTGACCATCTAATAATCTACCACCTAATTCTTCTATCAGAGCTCCATATTCTACTTTCTCCTGAAATGAATTGGAATAGCATGAAACTCTATTTCTTTCAGATGTCAAATCAATCTTTATCAAATATTGCTAAAGCTTGGCACCATGATGCCATATTGGCACATTTACAGACTTCTCTCACTACTGGAGCATTCTCTAGCAGCCTCTTGCAGAGTTACTGCAATCGAGCATACCAGAATTCTATTGGCTGACCAATCACATCAAATGATTGATTTTTCTCATTTGTCAACAAGGCATGATAGGATGTCTTTTTGACCAAACATACAAGATATTCCCTAGTCCATAACCATTTTTCGTTAAGACTGAAATGAACCCATGGCACACTAACTGATTTTTGAACTAACTGGACCTACCTCAGCAGACATGCCTGATAATAAGAAGACATATTGTGGTTGTGGGGGTTCATCATGGTGATCTATTAATTCTACTGGTGACTTCATACCAACTGGTTTACGCTTTATTGGAAAAGCTGAAATACAATTCTTCATATACACTTTTTGCAAAATTTCATTTATATTTTTGGCAATGTTGTCTAAAGCAACAAATTAGAGATTGTCAAAGAAACATTAATGTTAGAAATCAACTTAAATTTTTGCCAAATGAAACCAGCATAAATCCATATCATTTAAACCAAAATAACAAAGAAAAGCACAAACCTAATGGTGGAGCTTCTGGAGTAGGAATTTTCTTTCCTGTTGGTGAATTTTTCTGTAAAATAAAATCAATATCATGATTACTACAGAACAGTGCATGTGGTAAAACAAGTACTTGATATGCACTCTATTAAGCATCTTGGTTGCAATATGGTTATATGGTTATTTTAACCTTCTATTTAAGGCCTTTCTTACATGTATAGATGTACTAAAGAGGGTGTCTTGATCCTGTGGCAAAGAAATAGCTCAGTCAATAGCAAGTTTGATGGTCCTATATTAGGCGATTAGGTGCCGTGGGTTCAAATCCTCTTCAAGTTAACAACAATACAGATACCACATCCGTCTGTCTGTTGTCCGCATTCACCTAGTGAGTTATTTACAATTCAGGGAAAAGAGCAGCATATGATCTGAGATAACCACTGTTCACAGAACATACCTGGACCTGTTCATCATCAGTAGAAGCATGATTATCTTCAACTTCTGAATACTGAGCATCTTCTGGTATCTCTAGATCAGCCATATAATCTTCTGTATTCTGAGTCTGTGTAGGACTACAAGCTTGTTCTAATTTAGCTGCTAGTTTCTCTTTCTCCAATCTACAAACACAAGAGCAATCAGAAATGGATTTTTTTTTGGAGACTTGACTGAAAAGCAATTACCATATTGTAGTGTACAATGAGGAAAATTTACAATACTTAGTTTTTTGTCTATCCTTATTTTTGTTTTCCTGTTCCATGGTACATCTGCAGCACCCAGATTAAGACTAGGCCTAGATTACAGTACAGTTTACTAAGATTAGTATGTTGAAGAGCAATGTTTTCCTACCTGCCTACAGGATCATCCCAGGTAACTAAAACACTTTGTGATTCTGATGGACCTGGTATTTCTTCCTCATTTTTAATACCACCTGTTGATCTGGTTTTTCTCTTCTCATCTGTAATAGTCAGAAGAAAATAAAATTGCACCATTGAGCAATCCTCACTTTTTTAAGGATCTTTAAGTCTTTGAACACTGATGACTGAACTCAAAGTAATATGATTTAAAGGGACAGATGCACAATTTTTTGACCAATCATACTTTAGTCTCAGAAACAGGATTTTTTTTTGCTAATCCAATCAGGTATAGTGTTCAAAACTGTCGAAATTTGGGCCTTCAAATCAATGTGTGTCCAGAATTATTTGTGTTTGAATGTTAAAATGACAACTTGTCAATTTAAGATACTCTGTGATATATAGAAAAGGAAAATTGAAAAGTTTGAAGTATTTTTAAAGGGATTATGTGATTTTTGTAAATTTCTAGCGCTCCTGAAGACTGTTTACATGTATTCAAGATTAAAATCCTCATCCAATAGGCAAAATATATAACAGTAACTTACCTCTGTTATCTTGTTTAGAAGATGGTCTACTCTCTGTTATATTACTACCAGATGCACTTAAATTACCTCCACTAGCTGTAAAAAAAAAGTTGAAGAAAATTTGAAACTTATCATCCGTAGACCAATATCCAATTTGTGTTTAAAAAATAATGAAAGTTAACAGGCAGTAAAAAAATAATCCCACCACCTAAAGAAGATCAGTTTTATGCTAAATAAAAAAAAAATTTCTTACAATTTAATTTTCTACTTTTTCTTCTTCCTGCTTTTTTTGATCTGAAAAAAAATATCATTAACAAATTAACTATAAAAATGGTGCTTACGTAATAGCGCAGGGAAACAGGAAAAGCAAATTTACTTAAAGATGGGTTTCCTTATTTTTTAGATGTCAAATTATGCAAACTATTTGATTAATTGGTGTTTCTAATGAATTATCATGTATTCTTAATCATATCATTATGTTCTTATTGCATATAATTAAGAGTTTTAACCAATCATAAATGTCCATGTATGTACAGTCTGGATAAACAAAAAAGACTTTTTGACATTTCTTGATCGGTCACTCAATGGAATACCTCCACTTTCTATTCATATAAGTATTAGCATTTTCATAAATGAAATTAAGGAACGCATTATTTGATGGATGACTCTAGCATTAAGACAAATTTTTACAAATGTATCACTTACTTGGCAGCCATAATATCATCCAGTTGTTTTGATATAGCTATTTTCATTTCTAAAGTTCCACCAGAATCAATCTCTACCACCTCCTAAAAAAATTCCAATGGTAGCACATGATTTGGAGTGTTTGGAACAGTTTAGCTAACTGTCTGTATCATTATCAATTCTGTCCTCAATCGGCCCATACAGAAGCTGAAAATGTCACATTCAAAATTTTCCTATCTATTTTCTTTCCGCCCTTTTGTATTTTGTCTGCCTCTACTATTTTTTCAGCACATGTGAAACGTGTTCTGAACTCTGTTCTGTTCTAACTTGTCCTGAACATGCCGAACTCAACAATCAAGCGAACCCCTTTAAAGTTTTTGATATTGCTTCTAATATACAAACCTGTTGTTCTGGTTCATGTTCTTCTACATTTACAGCTTCATTCTTTTCTTCTTTGTTTTCCTTCTCACTTCCACTAGTTGAAGATCCTTTATTCATTTTCTCATTCTCTCTATCTGAACTTTTATTCCTTCCTCCTTCACTCTGTTTATCCTCACTTTCACTCGATGACTTTTTAGTCCGGAGTCTATTTCGAGGATGTTTTGCAGTATCGCTATCACTAGAGCTTTTATTGTCCGTGCTAGCTGCACTAGATGTTTTAAAGTTTAATCGAGGAATGTTTTTTGGAGAGAGATCTACAGTTTTAACTTGGGAGTTGGTAGTCTTAGTGGACCGTGCGCGACTGCTACGCACTGGCGTCTGCTTCGGTGTTGATTTAATACGTCCTGGTGTTGACTTCACATTCTGAAGAAAAATCAAATAAAAATTATTTTGCAAATACACAATGTTATCAAAGCAGATTTCACAACACAAAACTGTTCATTTTCATGATTGTGGGTAACCCTTGCCAAAAGGCTTGGAAAGTACCAATAACAAACTTGTATGATAAATAGTGTTAAAGTATGTTCATTATCAATAATAATCTTTCTATGTAACAAAGGCAATATTGAATGAAATTTTACTCTTTTTAATTAAATTTGAATTTCCTGTTAAACTATAAGATAGATGGATATATCCTAAACAGGGCCTTGAAATTTGGTTTCTCTGCCAAAACTAGACATGCAAATTGCTATTTTGATTTTAAAAGTATATGAAATAAAAACCTACCAAACATAATTTAGGATTATAATTGTGAGGATATAATGTCTCATCAACTCTAGTCTGTTGTTCTTGACACTGAAAATATAACATAGAATCCTCTAATTAATATTTTGATGTTACATTTTACTCTTCTCTACCTGGTTAGCCCAATGAAGACCATCAATAACATGCAGTTTGCAATCGGCATATTAACGTAATCTTCTATGATTTCCTGAGGCACACGAGGCCTTGGTTTATTGCTTCATTCAACAGATTACATGCTTTTTCCATGTCTGCCCCTCCAACTACATCTTCCACATCCTTGACCAAGAAGCATTAAAATTAGCAAGTTAAAATGTTTTGCAAGTTTCAACTTTCTGCTGATAAACTAGATGGTATAAAATATTGTAAATTACTTACAGCAAACAACCAATGTGAAGAGACCACACATTTCTTATCATCTCTAGCTGTACGGAACTCTTTATTCGTATCATTAGCTCTACCCTACAATATTATCATAAATTATTAACGGCTAATTGCTGACAATAACCAGTTTCCCAATCATGATTAAAGCTGAACCATCTCTTTAACACTAGTCAGCTCCTCCATGTTACAGAAGGTGACAATTTTGATTGATTATTTCTGATATTCTTGCATCCATTGTAATCTAACAAGTTTTCTACCGCCGTCGTGTTCTAATGACATTATATTTAAACAATCCATGGCTGTAATGTCTCCTAAGTTATTTTGATTAGAGTGGCCAATAATTAGCTGCAAAAAATAGCTTGTAGGTTGCGACAATGTAGGAAACTTGTTAGATTACAATGGAGATGAAAATATAAAAAAAAAGAAACAAACAAAATTGAAATTACAATCTATTTATAAGTAGAACTTAATCCACATTTTCATCCAATCAGCATAAGCTAAATTGCTCACTCAATTGTTAAAAATTTCACAATCACATGATTTTGACTGACAGAAAGAATTATGTTTGTTTGGCTCCCACTTCTTTCCCACTTAAATTTTACTTAATATGATCTAACTAATACTTAGTTTGTAGGATAAGCTTACCTGGAATATAACATGAGTACAACTAGGTGTGTATTTCCATTGATATTCCCCACCTAAATCTGAGACTATATCATGGTACTGTGATACATTAGCTGCTACCTTCTTACTAACATAAATAGTTACACTATATAGTGGTCGGCTAGACTGGAATTGAAACATATAGTGAAATCAAGTTAAATTCAAATTTTTGTCAGGGACATTGATTTGCAACATTCCAATTTTCAGATTCTTTCTTCACTATTTTTTCTAAAATAAAGCATTTTATGATGTCACTCTGGCTAAAGCAGCTGATAATTTGTTAAGCATGCTTTGGTGATAGTGACGTCATAAGCAGTAAGCATTTCTATAATCACAATCACACACATTTGACAAAAAATTGGAATCATGCAAATAGAAGTAATACATGGCTCCAGAACACAGTTCTAAAAGTTCAGAAAATCTCTCTACAACCACTTAAAGCCGATTTCAAACTACATGTCAATACTTACCACTGATCTGAATGTTTCTGATCGACTAGCACAGCTCTCTCCTGGTAGTGATCCTAATTCTAGAGCTTTCTCTATCATACCATTTACATCCTACAATTAATTGAACCCTTTAAACCCTGAGAGTAAATGAAATATAACGTCATACACCCTGAACTCCCAAGTTATAAGAGCAAAAGCGTATGATGTTAACGTTGTATGACCTCACTTAGTAACGGCCGGTATACCGGCTGATCATGTATAGATTGCGTTAGCGTGTGGCCGTTATACCAGCTGCTAGGGTTGAAAGGGTTAATCATCATGAAATACAGTAAAACCTCTCCTATGTTATCAAAGCCTTACAAATGGATGCAAATGGATTCATTTGCCAGTTTAGAGTGGTTACTAGATATAATATTGGCTAGCCACTTTCAGACCAGTTTTCGATGCAAGATTGAAGTTTAGAGTGGGTACCTGTTTAAAATGCTTTTTCTTCAAATACAGATTATAAATTTTTATGACCAGAACTTTTCAAAAATTAGCAACTTACAAAACTGTCTCTTCTTTTAGTAGGTGGTGACTCTAGAGATTTCATGATATCCTGAAAAACATTCCATTAAATGATTTCAAGGGGATTTTAAAATAGGTTTTCAAACTTTTATGTGTATTGGGGTCATTGATAGCATCTAAGAGCACCATTACAATCTTCAGTCAGATGTCTGTGGTTCTTGCAATTCCTCTTAAACTAAGCCAAACATGACATCAGCATAACAAAAGCCTGAGATATAATCAGCAGTTTTGCGATAAGAAAAGCTAAGTTTTTAGAATAATTGTAGACAACTTCAAGCAGCACAGTATGCAATGAGGGAAATATATCAGAACTAACAACAATGTTATTATTAATATCTAAGATGTATCTATCTATTAATACCTACATCCAGTTCAAATTTCGGTATAAAATCAACTCCAGAATTGGCAAATTTACTAGGTGTGTCCATCTGTGGTGTACCATGTGAACCAGCTATACCAGGGGTTCCACTTGGTGTCTTTAATTCCTGCAAATAATGGTCCTTAATGGAAATAAAATATAAACTAGATTGGCTGGAATCAACTTTCAACATGTGCATGCAACTGTGGAGAAATATAACTATTTCTTCATCACCATTTGCTGGTAAATTGAAAGCAGTAGGTTCATAAATTTGAGTTCAAACCAATTGCTGTTTCTTATTGTTTTTCAATAAGAAAATCACCTTAATGATGCCATTTCATTTTTCACTCTCAATGGTGGTCATAGTTTCTAATTAGGGTCAACTTTGTGAAAGTTAGGTGATTATATTCTAGGGCTTGGCGATATACTGGTATAGGAATTTATATTGTTACTAATATCGCCTGATTTAAATATAGCAAAATATCGTGATGTATGGAATTATCATGATATATTGTTAAATTTTTGTCCAGATCATCTAAACAATTCTAACAAGTACCTTAATATTTGAAACAGATGTTTTTTTCATGATATTCAAGATTGGAATGTTTTTAGAGGTATCTATTGTTGTATGTTACATTTAAAATTTCTAGATCATAATTTTCTTTCAAAAACCAGAAAAAAACAAATTTAAAAAATATCACGATATATACCCATATTGTGATATATTAATGCTTAATATCGTGATATCAACTTGAACCAATATCGCCCGGCCCTATTATATTCCAATAAAAGGGAAACTTGAATTATCAAAACTAATGCAGCTGAACTCACCTGAATTCGACTGTGTTTAGGTTTTAATGATAAAGGCGTATTCGATTTCCTCTTCTCATTTTGATGCGTATTGGTCAGCTGATTATCTTGTAAGGCACGATTATTCATGGCAAGTTGAACTGTAACCTCTGACATGGGGTTAATATCAGTTATTTTTCCATCTTCAGCTGACGAAGATGGCACTTTCTCTTCAGCAGACGACTGATCTTCTCATTTGAAGATTTGGATTTTTGATCGTCCAGTTGCATATTGTTCGTGGAAGATTTGGATACTTTGTTACTGGAAGAACTAGACTCAACATCACCATTAGGAAGATCTGGATTTTCAGAAGTTTTAGGAGCTGCATTAGGATTTTGAGCTTCTTTCACAGTTTTCGGTTGTGGTTCAGAAATGAGAGCTGAAATTTCAGCTGAATTTTTATTCCACAAATCATCGATTAAGAAATTTTCTTCTGGAAGACGTTTACCAGTTGTTGCACATGCATAAATCCACCTTAAATAGTAAAACAATTTGAGTGTTACAAGCACGAAGCAACCTTTAAATATTATAGAGTTCAGGAAACATTTCAAAAAATAATAAAAATCGCCACTTTAGGATAGTTGTTCACGTATTAAATGCTTCGAATTGAAAGTAATTTTGAAATTTTTGGAAGGTAACGAGGCGCTTTGTAGTCATACATGAAATTTTTGGAAGGTAATGAGGCTCTTTAATAGTCAAGATTTTAGGATTTATAAAGGGGTAAGGGGGGCAATACAATTGATCAAGGATTCAGCAAAGGGTAATAGAAAGGAAAAAGTTGAAAAACCAATTTTGTTGTTTCGTCTTACTTCGTGTATAGCAGCCTGATATACATCTTATATTTGAAAGATCTACATACATCTGATATCACTCTGCAACTTGGTTTGTCAACTAGACATAATTTCCAGATACAGATGATAAGACCTTTCTACTTACTCTTTTGATAAAGCAGGAACCTTCCATTTATTAGCAGCATTATATTTGGGACCTCCTGGTTCATTGACTATTAAATGACTACAGGCATCATAACCTTTCTGAGGGCGTCTTACAAAGAAATCTTGACATCTGAAAGGAAAGAAATATTGTCAATAGTTGACATCTGAAATGAAAGAGATCTTGACAATAGTTGACATCTGAAATGAAAGAAATCTTGACAATAGTTGACATCTGAAATGAAAGAGATCTTGACATCTGAAATGAAAGAAATATTGTCAATAGTTGACATCTGAAATGAAAGAGATCTTGACAATAGTTGACATCTGAAATGAAAGAGATCTTGACATCTGAAATGAAAGATATATCATCGTGTCCCCATTTGTCATATTGCCTTGAGACCATGGTAAAACGAGTGAGAAAAATTACGTATTCATAGATAATATTGTCCAATCAAAATTTGTGTATTGTCTTAAATATCTAACAGCTTCTAGTCTAGAGTAGTAAAAGCAGTATAACTTACTTGGCTCCTATCATATCAGCAATATCTATTATACATGATCTCTCTACACCAGCATACCCACTGAAATATAACAACAATTCCTCAGGTCTTTCTGAGATAATGCTAAATTTACAATCCTAGTCGTGGATTGGTATCGGGTGTCAAAGTAAATAGTCTTCAGAAGTTCAAGAAATGTATGTAAATTACATAATTCCTTAAAAAATATCTTTTCCAATTTCTATAGATATCTTTTCTATATGGCTGTGTCTCAAGAAAAGAAGACTTGTCTTTCTAATGCCGATAATTCTGTACACACATGGATTTGAAAGCTCAAATTTTGACTAAACTGTGATCACTATTACTGATTGGCGTAGCTAAAAAAAATTCCTGTTTCTTAGACTTAGGTACAATTAGTAAAAAAATGGCGCATCTGTTCCTTTAATTGCATTGGTCAGGCAAGCATAATTGGAATTTAACCAAAGATATCTAAAGCCATTATTTAAGAATTGAGAAAAGACCTACCTAACAGACAAGACACAGCCCTGTAATGGTTTACTATCAGTTATATCTAGAGGTTTAAATAATGTATTAGATTCTGTATCCAGTAATCTCTCTTCTTCTAAACACATTTGCTGAAAATTAATAATAAACATCAGAATTTCAACTTCCATATTGGTTACAGTAACATTTAATCAACAACTAGAGAAACTAAATATTTTGTTTCATTTATTTTTTGTGGGTTACTTCCTAAATAACATATTTTATGCTTCTAAAAATTTGCCTGGATTTGCAATAACAAATATCCAAGAAGGCATCACAAGTCAGCAATAAACTCTAAACAAAGAGCTTCTGATTGGCTAAAGAAGAGAACACACTTTTCATAAATATATTGTCAGATCCTATTGAAAGTCAATCTCATTAAAATTAAATTCATTTTCCTTCTCCATTGTAATCTTACAAGTTTTCTACCAAAGTCGCATTCTAATGAAGTTTTTTTTTTAACCATTATTCTCTAGAAACGGTTCTCACATGATATGGTTTGATTGGTTTAAAATAATGTCATTAGAGCCAGAATACAGTAGAAAACTTGTCAGATTACAGCAATGGATAAGAAAATATCAGAAAAAAAAAGAAACCAAATTGTTATCTAATTTTTCTAGATTTAATGACTTACAACAAATCAATTTTGTATCAGGTAGTTCCAGGAATTTTTTCACAGACATTCAATATAAGGAATCAATAAGAACTCACCACCCATGCATAAGTAACAACTTCAGTAACAGAAACAGTAACAGGAAACCCAAGTAACGGAACAACACCATAATCAGCTACCACACGTTTATTTTCTGGGATCATTTTGCCACCATTGTCTTCCACTAGCTTTATAAGTTCATTTTGTTCACCATTATCAAAACCCAGAAAGATCAACTTCTTACCAGAAAATATTTTACCTTCTACATAGGTAGATGGTTCTAAAACAGAACACAGTAATGATATTCTGTATTTAGGTAATCAGTCCAGCAAGAGACTATCTGCTTGACAAATTAAAAAATATACCCTATGAATTATTTTGCACCAAATTGTGTAGATTTTATAATCATATTCAATAGTTGCTTGTGGATTTTTTTTTGATTTTTTTGCTGTACATTAATATTCTTGCTTTTTATGACTAATACTAATTCTACTGTTGTCTATTCTATTAAGTATCTGGTTGAACTAATCTTAATGTGAATTAAATTCAATTTATTGAGGCTCCATAGCACAGTTGGTTCTTTACATGACAGCATTTGCTAAGTCGAGCAAATGGTGGTTGTGGGTTTCGATCTTGAACACCCAATGACCTTTAACAAGTCTTTTTCACTCATAATTCCTAACTGTAAATGGGTACAGATAATGCAGGAAAGATTAATGCCACAGGCTTTGGCCAAGGACCAGCTGGTAGAAAGGATCCTTAACTGTGAACCTAAGTTGTTATCCTTGTAAAATATTGTTTTAGTTCCTTTCTTTATTCCCAAAACGCTCTTAGCGCTAGGATGTCCTAGGTTCTTATCTTCTTACACTGTTTCTAGGACATCTTAGTGCTGAGATAGTTTCAAGAACACGTGACCATTGTTTATCTAAACCTCCTGAATTACACAATTCAGTATGACTTTGTTTTGTATTTCCTGAATAGGATTTCAAGATTTTAAAATTTGATGCATTATATTCCTGAACGCCTAAATTGATTTTCATCAACTGGAAAATGAGGTGGAGTAGAAACCATGTGTCCTATATAACCAGGTTAATGATGTCACAAAATTCCAAGTGATCTTATCAAATGAGCTACAACCCTCTCAAATCAGTTTAAACAGTTACCTTGAGTAGTCTGGAGATCAGGTTGATGAGCTATAGTAGTATTTTGTTGACTGGCTGTATCATCATTATTAGATAGCGTTGTATTATTCTGATTATCTTGATTTGGTAAATATTGACTCAATATATCCATTTCATCATCAAAAGCTGCGGCTGCGGCTGCCAATGTGCTGTCATGACCTTCTTTAGATTGGCGGGCTTTGGTTTTACTGGAATTATAATAGAAAAATATTGGAGTTTTGAAGAAACAAAAATCTAATAGCTTTTAAACTCAATTTCAGCTTACATTTTTAGATTTCATTTGGACATAATGGTACTAAAAATATATGTAGTTTCTCAATCTAGGTGTCTGGAAATCATTACTCAGAATAAAATGCATTTGTCATCCTTAATTTCTAGATAAATAGATAGCCTCGCAGTCTGAGTCAGTTTTAGCATGACATGAAAATCTTGATGTTTTTGTTTCATGTTTTTTCTGAGGGTAACTTCACTTGACATCTAAAATCGGATGAAATTGTTCTTCATCTTCTGTTCTGGGTCATATATTCAACCAAAACATCGTCAGATCATTGATGACAAGTGTATTAACCCTCATAAAAAAAAAAATTTGGAAACACCCAAATTGTAATTCCCTTAGAAGAGTTGAAAAACATTTTTATCAACAATTAATTTTAAAGTAATTTTTATTTTATGACCAAACCAATGAAAGAATACCTTTTGACTTGAGGCGAGTGAGAAGATTGTGGCACTGGAAGATTAAGACATAAATAGTCACTTTCATCCAGCTGTTTTTCTTGTTTGTAACAATCAACCAGCCATTTACAGGAAACAACAAAAGGTCTGAAAAGGAAAAAAGTCTTTACTTTTATCTTGGTTAATTTCAGAGCATCTTTCCTAATGCCTTATTCTTTACAGTCAAATTGAGTTTCATGAGATGGTCACAGCTATGAGAATACACATTATCATATACTGGAAACCTACCTAAATTCTCCTGATTTTAGTAGGTTAATATCAGAATCAATATGTTCACCAAGTATAACATGGGTAACACTTTCATTGATATTATTAAACCTACATAACCTACCTAAATTCTCCTGATTTTAGTAGGTTAATATCAGAATCAATATGTTCACCAAGTATAACATGGGTAACACTTTCATTGATATTATTAAACCTACATAATCTACCTAAATTCTCCTGATTTTAGTAGGTTAATATCAGAATCAATATGTTCACCAAGTATAACATGGGTAACACTTTCATTGATATTATTAAACCTACATAACCTACCTAAATTCTCCTGATTTTAGTAGGTTAATATCAGAATCAATATGTTCACCAAGTATAACATGGGTAACACTTTCATTGATATTATTAAACCTACATAACCTACCTAAATTCTCCTGATTTTAGTAGGTTAATATCAGAATCAATATGTTCACCAAGTATAACATGGGTAACACTTTCATTGATATTATTAAACCTGAAAAATATTAAATAAAATTGTTTGAAAGAATATGCAATTAATAAATATCATATCAATATATCAATATCATAAAGACACTATTAGTGTAGGGGGGTGCTCGATTGAAAGGTTCTGAACAGGTTCCATCAGTTCCAATTCTGCCTTCAATCCTTGAACAGTACGGAAGCAGAGTACGTCATATTTTTAAAATTTTCCTATCTATTTCCTTCCCTGCCATTTTCTGTCTACACCTACTATTTTTTCAGCACATGTTGAACGCGTTCTGAACTATGTTCCATGAATCCCAAATGAACATAACTCACTCGAGTGACCCTTGGAATTCTTGAACTGAGTAAATGGAAGCCTGATTTGCTTCAAATTATTCAAATTCTTCCTTATTAGATTTGTTCATTCAACTGCAGAAGGGTACATCAAGGTTTAGCAGATTATAAGCAGATCGTGGACTTAATAATCAAAGTTATTGACCTTAGAATAAGTAGACAATTTCCACATTTAGATATGATTTTACAACATCTACAGAATATTCAACATGTTTGTCTAATATTACTTTAACATAAAGTTGAAACTAACCTTGTTGCTCCACCAGCATTGACAATTTTACGTAATTTATCTAAAATTGGATTACGGAAACCACTCAAATATATCTGTAATGAAATGATTATGGTGTAAAAGCTGAAAAATGATGTCTTTTTGAGTCTATAATGTATAAAATATGTGTAAATGGCTTAACGGTAATATATGACTAACATGCAACTAATATTGAAAGCTTCATTAGCACAAAGATGGAGTACCAGTTAGTCCTGTTCAAATACAAGCAATAAATAGCTTGTCATGTGTGCAAACTGCTATAAATATAACAAAATTCGGCAATAACCAATAACCTAACCCGCTTTAACCAATCAAATTTATGCTTTCTCCTGTGTTGGCATTTTGTGACATGATCAAAAGGTGTATTTTAAGGAGCAATAGACTACTAAGTCCACAGAAAGTGAAAATAGAAAACACACCTTTTCATCGGATGATCCAAATTGACCCATTAAATTTGATTGGTTAAAGCAAATGTCATCAGGTTAGGTCAAAAGGTTAATTTAATGAATGTTATAGACTGTGAATTGACTATATTAAAAATAACAAAAGAAACTGTAAAGAATTGTAGCCTGTAGAGTGAGCACAAATGTGAACTGGCCGACAAACTGACTGACCGCCAGGGTGATAAGAATATACGCCCAAAATATATTTGTGGGCGTATAAAAACGAAACGAGAGTTGGGTCTAATTTTAATTAGATTGTTGAGCGGTCTTCTTGGACCCTTAAAGCACCGATTCCAATTTTCAGTCAGAGAACTATAGTTCTTTCAATCCCACTAAAACTAACTGTTTTTCAATCCCTAGCCACACTTATAACTGGAAATCAAGCTATTGACACCTTAATTTTTAATTATCGTCTCCTTACCTTCAATCCATCTAGAAAGAAGTCTTTAATAGTTTTATTAAGATCTATATTTATATTAACTGTAGTTTCATCAGGCATAAAAGATAAACGAGTAGAATTTATCACTGATTCCATATTATGACCATGTAGAATAGAAGCATTTGATATTTCACTTATATCTCCTAAATGAGACTCTTGAACTAAAAATAAAACAAAAATAGATCTTTATTCTAATAGTAAATGGTGCATTTTCTAACTGTTATACCAATTATGTGTGCCATTTTGGGGGGTTGAATTTAGTCTTGAATATATGTTAATCAGAAGTACTAGAAATGTAAGAAAATTGTATATGTCACAGAGAATCTTAAATTGATGATTAGTGATCTGTTTAAATATTTCAAAAATTATTTATCATTTATAGATTCAATTTCACTAAGTTCTGTTACTAACTTTTAGATTTCAGTTAAAATTTTTTTTATATGTATCACATATGCGTAGGCACACTGAAAGCATCAATTGGCAAGTTTCCTATTTTCAATGAGACGTCTGTGTTTCCTGCAATTCCATTAAAACTAAGCGTTTTATGACGGCACTAATAGTGGAGAACATTATGTGATAAGGCTTAATTGTGATATGTGACGTCATCAAACATTTAGCTTGGGGGGAATTGCAGGAACTACAGACATCTGATTGAAAATTGGAATGGTGCAAATTGATGCTATCAGTGTCCCTGATACACATACAAAATCTAAAAAAAAACTCTTTAGAATCCCTTTAATGATCCAATGTCATAATAGGCCATTGTTAACAAAGAAAAAATGATGGAAAGCAAAACTAAAGGAAATACTGAGTTCAAGAGAAATAAGAAAAACATACTGCGACTGATATCTTTAGTTGGTGTAGAAGTAGAGTTAGATGATTTGCTACTCTTATCATTATCACTAGACAATAAACTGTATTCTTTTTCTGGTTGACAATATCCTGTCTCAACAGACTGATATACCCAGTCAATTGTTACTGTATGTATCTTCCATTTTACAGCAAACGCATACTTCCTCCCTGAAAAATACATAATCTTACATATATTTCCAGTGACGCTAGACATAGGCATAGTTAAGTCCAGCCTTCCCTCCAATTCAAATTAAGAACCTGAAATAGACGGCGCTACTTTACTTATGTACCTCTTTATGATCTCAATTTTTTTATCCACTAAAACACAACAGGATGATGTTCTAAACCCTACATAAGTGAAGTAGCGCCAAATAGAATACCTCTTGGTAGCCTGACTGCAGCACTTTTACTTTTCAATTTGTTTTTATTTGGTCTTAGAAACCTAATCTGATACACAATTTTTAATTTCCATCCTGACAAAAACCACAAAATTATTGTGTAAATTTACAAGCACAGAGGGGCTTAAAAAAAATGAGTTCTGTTTGAGCTGATAGATTGTGTACGGCCTGGCTCAAGTTTTCAACAAGCCATGTAACTTTTTGATCCCAGCACAGCAGAAATTATTTGAAATCAACTCTTGGTTAGAAAATATAAGTTTACCTTTTGGTTCATTAGTAACAAGATGTGTACATGAATCTTTTGTCATTTCACCAGAAAACTTTCCTCCTAAAAATTACAATGTTAAATCCTCATAAAACACATTAAAAAACCTTGCTAACTGATCAGGACAGCCCAGGGGAGTTAAAAGCTACACAAAAGTGGATAATACACAAATTAATGCAATCTCAATTTTCCACAAATTGTAAATATTTTACATTCCAATGAACAATTAAATATTATATTAAAGTTTTTCAGCCATTTCATTGGGTTGACTTGTAAGGGAAACTGCACAGAGAGGGCATTGAGATAGAATATTTCCATGAAAGGGGTAAAAATTCTTTTTTGAAATGAAACTGTCAAAGGTAAATGTGTGCCCATACATAGCTTAACCCTGTTTCTCAAAAATTCGTTATGACAAAACATACATGTTTAGTGAAGAAAACAGTGAGGTTATCAAATAGTTCATTAAAAACCTTTACGTCAATCTACGATATTTGAAGAAAAAATGGTACTGGGGCCTTGTTTTTTGTTATACTGCTTCTCTGCTAAAAAAATCCTACGCCCAATAAGACAGGCAATGTCATGCTGTGCACAATGAGGCAATCATTTTTAATCAAGTCGGACCAGGCTTCTCCTATTTTCAAATGCAGAATTGTTAACATCAATAACCATTACTTCACAGTCCCACTGAAAGATAAGCCCGACACAGAAACTTACCTTCCGATTCTATCAGATGTTTAACTTCTAATCTTAAAGATTGTGTTAGACCCGATACAGTAACATTGAATCCTTTAAACACTGGACATCTATATTTACTAAATATATCATCTGATGCATGAACATGTCTGAAAGTGAACATATGAAATATTTTTAATTATTCAGAGAACTGCTTTTATGTATAACTGGGACTAGAATAGCAGCTAAAAGAGCAGATTAAAAAAATTAAATGAATGGAGTTTTACGTCCTACTTTTCTGCATCATGATGGCTAATGAAGACGGGCAACGCCATGCAGGGTGCAATGAGGGAAATTTTGCCAGGACAGCGGCATTAACCTGCTCTTTTTCGATTTCCAACTGCCAAATGGATCTTTTACGAGCACAGTCTGTGGCACACGCCGCATCAATTTATTGTCCCATCCGAACGACTGTACGCTTTTTCCATACCAGCCCCTCTTACCTGCATCACTGACAGTGGGAAACTGGGTTGAAAAATCCGAAGGTGTTATCTCAACCTATGCCAGGATTTAACCCTGGACAAAATAGCAGTTTAAGACAGGCCTTTGGAATATAGTCTTATGTTATCACAGTGTTAGAGTGGACAGATATTTGATTGGCGGGTGCAGTCATCAAACAGATATATGTTCAGAGGACTGTCGTTAGACCCTAACTGAAGTGGCTGTATTTATCATAAAAGCTGATAAAATGTGAAGTTTGATCTAATTTTAATTAGAGTTGAAATGAAATCTGCACAATTCTTTCAAAACAAAAATCATTTAAGGTACAGATGCGCCATTCTTTTTGAACAATCATACTATAGAATTTCTTAGCTAAGCCAATCAGTAATAATGTTCCCTTTAAAGTCAAATAACAAGAGAAAGAAACATGACATTTGTATAGTTGTTTACCTATAACGTGATTTCTCCCAAACTGCTTGAACCCATTCTGGTGACATTATATCCTTTTTCAAAGATGCTGCTACCTGCATAAATACAGAATTGAAAAATAATAAATTTAAAAGTCAAAATCAGGTGATACATGCTTCTAAGGCTGGGTAAAATAATGATAATAATCGATTATCGTCGCTAGGAATTTATAATTTTGATTATCGATTATAAAATTTCAAAATCGATTATTATGGCAAAGTTACATTTTCTCCACTGTACCCGTTAACAAGTAGTTATCTCTTCCACATAGGTTCCCTTTAGCACATAACATACCCACAATAAGCTATAATATTGTGGTTAATAATAACAGATCAAAGCAATAATATACTTCTAAACTTCAATAATTACCCATGAAATTAAGAATTTTGGTATGTTTTTAATTTAGTATTTACAGGTTTTTCAATTGAATTATTTTGATTATTAATCATTTATTGTTCGGTAGTCTGCCATCGATAATCAATCTAAACTCGATATGATTCAATATTTTATCAAAATCAAAATATTATTTGCACATTCTTTTTCACCAAATTATGTACCATTTTTTATGATTTCCAATTACAATGGAGTAAATTTTTAAACAGAAACATAACTGACACAAGGATTTGCCAATGGTGTCAATTTTAAAAGTCATTTCTTTTGAACTCTCTATGGCACGCTTTTGGTGAGACAAGTACAAAAAGAAAGAAACAGACAGCCTTTACAAAAGAAACAAAATGAGATATACCAGGGTCCTATCAACCAGCTAGTCCATGGCCAAACCTCTTGGCAATTGATCTTTCCCAAATTTTGCATACCCATTTGAAGTTGGGTCAACTGGAAAAATGAGGAAACATAACTTAGAACCCATGATCATCATTTCTTTGATGTCATGCTGACTGTGCTACAGCCAGTACATATTGAGCTTCATTAAGAATGACTAAGAATAAAACTTACACTATATTTATAACTGCCTACTTCCCCAGCTACAAGATGAGTAACAACATCAGTAAAATCTCTAAAAACACTTCCACCCATTAACTCTATCTTATCATATATCTTAGCCTGCAATTATTGACAAAAACAATACATTTGGAGAGTCCACAAAACAGGCATTACTTATTAACAATGATATCATTTGACAGGCAGCACTTAAAGCACAAATATGTAAACTACTTGAGATGGGTTAATGTACATATGAATGTCATGAGAGAAAATAATAATTTATACGATACTTCTTGATATACGATATGAAAAAAGCTTATATAAGTAGTAAAACTGTATGTAGCATTTTGTATGAAAAACAACCATAAACTCTACTCATTTTGTTCTCGCCAATTTTGGGGTTGATTTTGGTCTTGAATATATGAAAATAGTCTTCAGAAATACTAGAAATGTACGAAAAATCGCATAATTCCTTTAAAAATACTTCAAGCTAGGAATTTCACTCACTATTTCTATATAATATATCTTTTCTATATATTACAGAATATCTTCATTCAAATGCAGATAATTCTGGACACACATGGATTTGAAGGTTCAAATTTTGACAGCACCTGTCCCGTTAAACAGTCATGTCATTTCATAGTTGAAACATTGTTTTCGTGGGAAAGTTGAATCTATAGTTGACAGGGTTTTCTATTTCAAGTTTGTTTACCTACCCTTTGATCTTTATCAATGTTACTACAACTTATCTTCAGATCTTTCATTGCCAGATTATAAATTGGACTTCTTCTTTTAGGTATTTCCTACAACCCAATAATCACATAATAGATATCTTAGTAAATCTGAAATACTTACCAGCAGAAAGAAAGGTCAAAAAGTATTTTTTTGTTTATCCAGACTGTACCTACATGGGCATTTATGATTGGTTTAAACTCTTAATAATATGCAAAAAGAAAGTATACTTTTTGAAAGTGGTAGAGGGAAACCAAGAGTTTACCTGATGTCGAGATGAATATCAGAAAATATTTTGCATCCAAAGGCATAGTTCAAGGAAGAAATCCCAAGCCATTGTGTGCCTGATTATCAATTTTTACTAAAAGTCAGTCAAGGCTTGTCACATTTATAATGAAAAAAAAAAACCATCTATACACTCACCATTTTCATGAGCAAATTGGATAAAATACACTGAGGTCCAATTATTCTAGAAATAAACACAAAGATAAAGTAGGATAATTCAGATAATTATATACATAAAAAAAACCCTTGGAAATATTTTTATTTCCTTTTGAAAAAATAAAATCGGAAATACTAATCAATGGCTATACAAATACCATATCTATCTATTATAACAATTCACAGATATATCATTCCAGCACTAGCTGATGCACAATGATTCATTAAAGATGGGTTCCCTTATTTTCATTTATGAAAATGAAAATGCTAATACTTCTATAAATAGAAAGTAAAGGTGTTCTAATGACTTGAAAAAATACCAGTTTGTCTCACATGTCAATAATTAATTCATAATTAGCTAAATTAGAAGAGAATTATAAGCAGAATTCCAATTCTTTTGTTTATCCAGACAGTACAAACACGGACAGTTATGATTTGTTAAAACTCTTATTTATATGCAATAAGAACATAATGATATGATTAAGAATACATGATAATTCATTAGAAACGCCAATTAATCAAATAGTTTGCTTAATTTGAATTGAATAAGGTGGGTCTTTAAGATTAGTACTAAAGAGTAATCTGTCAAAATATAGTTAGAAATTAAACAGATAATTTCAGCTGACTTACCTGAATCCTAAAGTTGATAAATGAGCAAAGGCTTCTCCTTCAAATGGATCAAAAATAAAACAAATATTCCTGGCTTTCTCTTGATATTCCATACATTTCTCTTGACTTATCCATTCCGTTTTGATTTTATGACTTTGCATCGTCTGAAAATTTAAACCATTAACAATAAATATTTTTAATCAACACAAAATGTAACATACATTATCAAAAGATAGTATTGTGATTTCAACTTGAACCAATATCGCCCAGCCCTAACTAACCCCAAAGATTTTCCATAACAAACATGTACACAAAGCTTATATAAATCTATACAATATGGTACAATTTCATCCACAGAAGTTGACAATAGTATGTTTGCCCTAAACTTCTGATTTCTGCACCTAAGCAACGGCATGAAAAATCAGGAAAAACACTTAATTCAGTTGCATTAGGAGGTCAATGCCACTTTGAACGACAAAAATGCCTTTCAATGACTTGTTTTAGAGTAAAGTAGGGATGGACATATCCTGCATTTTGATAAATACACTTATTATAGCCCTGGTTTCCAACTTGGGGTGTTTTCACCTCCTGGTGTAGGAGAAGAATTTGTTTGAATAATCAATAATCAACACATGCTGAAATGTGAATGAAACAAATTTTTGGGGGTGTGAATGGTCCAGGTGATTGCTCCAGGGATGTATTATAGGGTAGTGAATTAGTGATGTCTGTGATGATGGCTATAAGGTTTGGAAAATATCTTCACTGAATAAAACAAAAGATTACTGTTTAGCAACAATACAAAATTTATTACAAATTACATTTTAATTTACCTCAAAAGCCTCTTCTAAAACAGGTGATGAGTTTTCATCAGAAGATCTGACACACTTTATGACAGTTTCAACTTCAGCCATGTTGGTCCCTTTTAACTTTTCAGAACTATATTTTTCTAGGTATCCTTACATTCTCTACAAACTGAAAATTTCAAATCAAATCAAAGAATATGAATAAGCTTGCCGATTAAATCTAAATTTATAATTGAAAACTGTCAATTTTAAATCAACAACGCAATTTTAACAAGCCTTTAAATTTTGACGGTTCTAACAGTCCAAGACACTAGAGAAGTATTGACAGTTATAACTTTTTTTTATTGTCCTGGTTAAATTTTTTTTTTTTTGTGATGTTCCGTTTTGACTGAAACCTATTTTGACGGAGGAATTTTTGGGTAGCGATTGTGCAGTCAAATATAGGTTGTTGTAAACAGTCACCTTTCTTGACAGCACATTAAAATAAAAAAAAAAACAACATACATTATTTTTATCAAAATGACTAAAAATGCCTTCACTTTTTACTGTCATGAAAGTTGAATGTGGAATGAGAAAGCGACTGCCCTTCTCTATCACTATATGTACATTAAAAGTCTGGGAAAGAATTAGAAATCTTATCCAACAATGTAACAATTTACTTTGATTTAGATGGTTTGAGTTGGCATATCAAAGACACCAAAAAGTAATTTATCATAATAACAGAAAGTGGTAGGGCCTACAGCTTGATTTGGATCATTCTAAGTCTACCCATCGTTTGTACTGATGTGAAGAAAAGGAAATGGTCAGGTGTAGCTATTTAAAGTGTATTTCATAATCTTGTGTATTTTATTTTGGATATTATTTATGCTTTGTTTACCATTTTTGCTGACTGTCAACTTTCAAGCAAGTTCCCCGCCAAATTGTATTTCACATTTTGTACGATACTTTACGAGAAAATGGGGAGTCGTACAATTTCTAAAATTTGCGGAAACGAAAAGGCGGAAGCGTGAACAACATGGCAACTAATATCTATGATAGCAACGGGTGAAAGATGATTTTCGAGTAAAATGCAAGTGTTCTTGTGACTTTTTCAATCGAAGAAGAAACTTCATAAGCTCTACATACAGAAATAGTAACGAAATAGCTTATCATAATCACACAACCTAAACATTTGTTTTTTTAACAGGGTAAGCAAAGTGAAACAGGTATAAATTTATCAGGTAAATATATAGGACTCTATTCTCTATGATTTGCAAACTCTATCAAACGTTTTACATTTTGATTAAATTTTATATTTATATATCTTTATTAAGATGAATCTACTCTACCCTACTCGTTGACTTGGATTCAACAGGTGAAATGATGATTTATCAAGCTTGTAGAATGAAATATTTTTGTCACTCTTAAAAGGTGTCTTCTTACGGTACCTCATTTATATTATACAACACAACAGCATAGAGTGATACTTTAGCTAATACTTATATTATAAGAACAAGCTTAGATGTTCTACCAGCCTTCTGCTGGTACTGGTAGTGTCCAATGTTATGTTACTTGCAATTTGAAGAAGCTCCCTGTCAACCTGGTTATCCCTTCTGAGTATATTTGCTAGCTGTAATATTGACATATTTTTGTTAAAACTCAATCACTGACTGTTTATCTAAATTAAAGAAATAGGTGTGGCATTTTGGGGGGTTGATTTTAGTTTTGAATATACGTAGAAATAGTCTTCCTAAAGTACTAAAATGTACTAAAAATATCTCAAACTGGGAATTTTACTCGCTATTTCTATATACCGGTATATCTTTTCTATTATATCACAGAGTATCTTAAATTGACGAGTTGTCATTTTAACTTTCACAAATAATTCTGGACACATATGGATTTCGACAGTGAGATGTAAACACTATTTCTGATTGGCTTAGCTTAATAGTTCCCCTGTTTCTGAAACTAAGGTACTATTGGTAAAAAAATGGGCTTGATATTTGTATTAAAAGAATTCAATTAGGCCTATAAGCTTTAAGAGTAAGTTATAATCTATCTTTTTTCATTTTCAGCTGAAGCTACTCCAATCGGACATCTTTGTTGGACATCTTTTTGAATGGTAAAGGCCTTTACATGATATTACTATGAGGCTACCGGTACTTAAATACAGATTGCTTTTTTATGCGTTTGGAATTATTGCTTTTATCGCCATTAACAAAATCATCAATGCCTCAAACCGAGAAGTGACACGTACAGAGAGGTTTTTATCCAAAAACTGGGCCACCGAAAACTGCGTTACAGAATGGTCCAAACAAATTAAAATATGCAATGGTGAATTTGCTATTTTAAATAATGTGCTACTAGAGCCATTTAACAGCGACAGAACTGATCCAAATCCAGATCCAAAGTTTACAATCAAATGCGATTCATTACCAGACGTCAAATTTCAACGTGAAAATCATTTAAATAAGTGGTATGATAACATAATTTGCACTCCAAATGATGTTGTTCAGACGAAAATACCAGTGGAAAACCATTTGACCATAATGGTCCGTAGGTATGAATATGCAAATCTCTACCATACCATGACTGACTTTTACAATGTCTTTATTCTAATTAAAGAACTAGGGGCTTCTTTCAATGACACAAACATTCTGTTGTGGGATTATCATCCATCTGGATTATTGGATGACACATGGCTGGTTCTTTTCAATCGAGTTTATTCTATCGAAGATGTCCGACCTAAAAAAGTATTGAAAAAGTTAGTTTGGGGCATCATTGGTTACAACAGTCCAATGAGTGCCTTTCATCTTCCCAGAATTCCATTAGTCGAAGATTTTAGTGAATTTTTTCTCTCGCGCTACGAGATAAGACCCAAATTAAAATTGAGTTGTGAGCGATTAAATATTCTATTTATTTGGAGACATGATTATGTGGCACATCCCAATAATCCATCTGGCTTGATCCAGCGGAAAATTTTAAACGAACAAGAAATTTTAAGGGCAGTGCAGAAGTCAAATCCACGTCATTCTGTTGAAGGTGTGCAACTGGATGTGCTGCCAATGAGAAAGCAGTTACAGCTGATAGCGCATACTGATATATTAGTAGGAATGCATGGCGCTGGCTTAACCAACACATTATTTCTGCCCAAGCATGCAGGTTTGATAGAACTCTTTCCATACGTCGTATTTCAAAGTAAATGGGTTGGTGCATACCTCCATTTTGAATCCATAGCAAGATGGCGGAAGTTGAAATATATACCATGGAGAAATCCAGATAAAGATAATCAATACCAACAATACAATACTAAAATACATCCTGATGTTGTTACAGATCTAGTATCTCAAATGAAAGCTCAAATTTGCTAGGGAAACACAATGGCACAGTCGGTAGACACTTGCCCTCTAACCTGAAGGTCCAGTGTATTGGCATTGTCCATGTCCATCCTTCCATCCATTGCTCGTTAACACTCTCTGAAGCACAATTCTTGATGGGTTTTGATAAAACTTGGTGTGTGTGTTTGTTATCACTCAAGAATGAAGAAGAATCAAAAATATTTAGTATGAGATATGGCACTTGTTCTTGAAAGTGCATTCAAATTATGTATTATAGAAAGCTTTAATATCAAACCATATTTAAGGAAATAGATATTATGACTGTAGATATATATATATATATATATTGATAGTTTATTTGTTTTATGATTTTTTAAAATTATGTTTGTTGAATCCATTTAAAAAAATTTTTTGATAAAGAACTAATGTTATTCGCTGTGATTTTTACTTAAAGATGGGTTTCCTTATTTTTTTTAGTGTCAAATTAAGCAAACTATTTGATTAATTGGTGTTTCTAATGAATTATCATGTATTCTTAATCATATCATTATGTTCTTATTGCGTGTAATTAAGAGTTTTAACCAATCATAAATGCTCATGTATGTACAGTCTGGATAAACAAAAAAAGAAATATTGACCTTTCTTGATCGGTCACTCATTGGAATTCTGCTTGAAATTCTCTTCTAATTATGAATTAATTATGAACATGTGAGAAAAACTGGTATTTTTCCAAGCCATTAGAACACCTCGACTTTCTATTCATATAAGTATTAGCATTTTCATTTTCATAAATAAAAAATTTCATAAATGAAAATAAGGAAACCCATCTTTATATAAAGAACTGTGCTTGCACCATGGCAATTTTCTATAAGCCCCTTATTCATGTCCCTTGCTGGCATTGAACTCTTTCTTATTCATGTTGAAATCCCAAAGCTCTGCTCACTCTCTATGCCATTAAGCTATTGAGGTAGGATGTCCAGTTGACCTTAAATTCCTAAAAAATCCTAATTTTTTTTCAGCTTTGCTAAAATTCTTTAAAAAATGTTAAAATTAAGGGGAAACTTTCAAAAAGCCAATTCCTATTTTTTTTTGTATTTCAAGTGGGGATCATTGTACCTCGTCAACAGGAATGTCTTGTATCGATACTTGGCGATACCTTTTATTCCATAAAAAGTGGGGATTTTCATAAGTTGTGTTATGATATAACAATTTTTTTTCACTGAAATAGTTAAGAACTTTTTAAAGGACAGTGAACGCTAACCACTAACCGCTAACTATATTACCAAATATCACAGTTATAAAGTTATAAATATAGCAACTTTGAAGATAAAATGTTAATGAAAAAAACGTCTAATCGTTCGGATGGGACAATAAACCGAGGCCCCGTGCTCTACAGATTGTGCACGTTAAAGATCTCTAGACAGTTGGAAATCGAAAAAGAGCAGGCTAATGCCACTGTCCTGACAAAATTTCCCTCAGTGCACCCTGTAAGGCATCGCCCGTGTTCATTAGCCCACATGGTACAGAAAAGTAGGACGTAAAACTCCATTCATTTCAATTCATTTTTTTAATATAAGTTTAACTTACAATATAAAACAAAGCATGTGACAGATTCTGTGGTTAAATTTCAATACCACATTATTCTCAAAATATTATACAGGATTTATTAAACCCCCTATGCCACATAGCCCAAGCTCTGAATCTTGTCATACTACAAATCCTTATTACAATTTACACTGTAAATCAGATCTTTCTACTACAATCTGTTGGTTGGTAAATAACAAGTTATCATCTGCTTCAAACAGAAGCTGATATTAAGGTAGTTTTCTTGGCATGGTACTTCAGACTCTCTCTCATAGAATGTAGCCATGACAACATCAGCTACCCTACCAACCACATATCTCATAATAGCAGGGTAGATATAGCTAGATCTATTCCCTTCAGCTTTCAGAGTTCAAAGTTCTTATGTGTACTTTATTATTCCACAATTTATTGAGTTTATAAGGGTAAATCAGTTTTTGTATCCGAGCAAACCCGTCTGCTCAGCATAACTGCAAACTGGTTTAACACATCTTTCCTTATTTCCAATCTTTTATGAATATTGCTTAGAAGGATTGAGACTTATTCGTCCACTAGAGGGGGCTTGGTGTGATAAAATACGCCCGACGTCAACTGTACCAGATGATAATGGCGGTGGTTGATTAGTTGGTATGGTATATGGAGTAAACTGAGAAACAGGAAGTGAGCTTAGAGGTGGTGATTGAGGTCTATGAGGTGACGCCACTGGCATGAAGGAAGGTGATGACATCATACTATATCCGGTTGATCTTGTCCAATCATCTTTAAAGATTTGAATAGTTAATAGGGAGACTAGATTTGATAGTCGACTATAAACATGAGCTAAGACTAACTGTTCATCTGCGTCTCTTCTCACTCGAACTTGCACTGACCCTGCCTAGAAATTAGAAAGGTCAAAGAAATAAGATTAGGGGTTCAGCTGGGAATATGTGACGCAAACAAAAGGTACAATCCAATAGGCATAAGACTAGTTTTTCAAATCCAATGGAACTGAATAGTGTACCGAACTTAGTTGTAACAGCTGTTCAGAATTAGCCTAGTTTGATTCGATTGGTTAAAACAGAGGTCATCAGGTTAGGGCAAAAGTTATTCATAAGAAGGAGGTTGTTAGACCTTAACTGGAGTGGCCAATAGAGACTCAATAGTCGATTGTAAAGGGGACACACTGCACAGGCTACCAATTCAACGTCATTTGCTCTTGAATTATCCAAAGATTGCATAGGATATGAACTTCAATGCCTATATAATAGGCTTATTGGCAATCAACCATTCATGAAGGAAAAGTACCAAAGATTCTAGAAACATACCAAAGAACCAAAAGACAAAGTCCAAAAGTGCTCTTGTCTGAATTCTAAAACACCATCTAAAGTTGAAGCTTCCCTTAAAACTTTATCAAGTTGACCAAGAATATGTGATGGGGTTGTCTGAAATAAAGTGAAGACATGACTGAAGTTGCAGACACACAAGCGGTCTTGGTCGGAGATTAGAGTCTTGTCTTGAGTTTCAACTACTCGCACGGGCACAAAAGGGGACAAAAATCACCAGTCGGTCGTTTTCCACCTTATCGATAATCACGTGTGGAGTGTGCAATTGACAGAAAAATGAATCTGATTGGATGATGACGGTCTGTCTTGCAGACAATAAAACTATCGGAGACAATTATCAAACTTGTTTGATATTATAAATCATGTCCTTTCAAGTGCACGCTCTGCATGTGTCGTTGAAGCACTGGCACATACAAGATTCGAGTCGGAGAGACAAGAATCTCCGACCAAGATCGCTCGTGTGCCCGCACCTTTAAATTAACAAAGGTATACATGTTGAATATATTTTGATGAACATGGTTGGCTGGTGACACTCAGTTCTATACAGTACCTACCTGTAGTAATATTTTAGCTGTATAAATACTCATTGGTGCCATAGTACCAAACATCATAATAGCTATACCTACTGCAGCCCAAGTATCAGCTGAATAATATAGTCTACAAAAAATTAAAGTCTGAATTAGACAAATTCTATGGTTGGCATCGCCATTCAAGAATATACATAATATATTGAAAAAACAGTTTTGACAGAGGTCTGAAATTAAGTAAAATACTGCAGTGCTAACAAAAACTTATAGATTTGTGTTCACTGAGAGAAATGATTACATTATGTAAGGGTAAGGAAAGAGTGCGCATTATACACAGCCACATAAGCAGTAATTTGCTTTCAGACATCCACCTTATAGCTTGATTTGGATTGACCCATTGATTCCACTGACTATTTCTACATTCGTATCAACGGCTGCCATTGTCTGACAATAAGGCAGAAGGCAGAAGTTACATACGAGTTACAAAATATAGTTCTTCAGTAGTTAGTTATCTCCCTTGAAGACTATCCTAGACATAAGTCTGGGTGTCAGAGACTAGTCAGATGTCAACAATGGAAACAAAAATTAAGCTATTATCAAATGATATAATATTTGAAATCTGTTTTCATGATGCATACGAGGGTATTGTCAGACATAGCGAGACTTATTTACGATTGACTATTTCTACTCACTTGGTATCAATGAGAATATAGGTTATAAATAGTAACACACCACCAGTCAGAGCTATTAATAGAAACGGATTGACTCTTGGTAATAACATCTTCCTTAAACCTGGTACCACACTGCATAAACTGAAAATAAAAACATAAACCCTTACAATCTGACCCAAAATACCTCTCCTACAGTCTTAGCACATTTATTGGTAAATCAATTTTACTGATAATTTGAATATCAGGCTAAAAATTGTACAATAGTTTTATGCTTCGGGCAGCGCACGTATTTTTTCGCCTGATTAATTTGATTGAAATCGCCAGCGAACTTTTACGCCTGATCACGAAAGGACACATGTAGTAATGGAAAATTCGTGCGATAAAAAAAGCCTGTTTGCCCCCAGCATTAAAATGTCTTAGCATTGATAATAATATAATTTTGAACACACATTAACTCGATGAAATTTGTTTTTTCAGAGGATGATTTTCTGCCAAAATTTGGGACACAATTTCTCATATCAAATTTGTTTTCAATTTAGGGCCGGTGATGTTGGTTCAAGTTGATATCACGATATTAAGCATTAATATATCACAATATGGGTATATATCGTGATATTTTTCTTTTTGTTTTTTACTGATTTTTGAAAGAAAATTATGATCACGAAAATTTAACAATATATCATGATAATTAAAATATATCATGATAATTAAAATATATCACGATATGGCGATATTTCTGTATTTTTTAATCAGGCGATATCAGTAACAATATAAAATCCTATACTGGTATTTATCGTGATACCTGTATATTGCCCAGTCCTAATTCAATTCATGTAATATTAGGAAGAGTCCACTTGAGTTCTTACCTTTCACTCATATCAGAGACATGTTCTTGTAACCAACTAGAGCTAGAGGCTGCAGCAGTATGATTCATAGCTCTATTATTAACACCAAATGTTACTAGTAAATGTACAAAACAGGCAAATACTGTACCTACCAACAACCTTCCTCTGTAAACAAAGAAGAAATGGATTACCAAATGTTGATTTTACATTGTCCTGGGTCACAAAAAACAAAGCTGTGTAATTGGTGAAAAATCATACATTTTCACTCTTTGTCTTTTTGTCAAAATTTTTCGTTTTACGTTGTTTTTCAACAGAGCGCAATTAATTTCTAAAATTTCTAAAGAACTTACGTATGAATTTCTGGTTGTTGTAACAAAGCCTCGACACTTTCTTTAAAAATAAAAAATGACCCAAGTTGAGCCAACATTGTACTAGCAAACACCGCTAAAACTTCAAACCTTTCATAGCTGTAAAATAATTAAAAATGGCTATAAAATCAGTACATGTACATCTGTTTATCTGGTTTTGTTACTTAGAGTGTCATTAAAGGGATTATAATGAAAAGGAGTTTTCTGAATTTTTTATACGTACATCAATTTGCATCATTCCAATTTTCAATCAGATGTTCCTCTTTAGCAATTCCATTAACACTAAGTGTTTTATGACATCACCCCCACAAAATTTGCTTGTATCATATAAGACCTTTGCGAGGGTGACATCATAAAACACTTAGTTTTAGTGGAATTGCTAGGTATACAAAATTTAGAAAAACTCTTTACAATCCCTTTAAATGAAGTCAAACTATGGAAAAGTAGCTAGAAATTCATAATAATTCGTTAGTTAAAATGGAGCTGATTAGTTACTTCTCCTTAAAAGTGTAGTGATATAAAAGGAAATTCTACATTCTACATTTCTGCACCAATTTCGGCTAAATGAACAATGCTATGCAGTGTGCAATGAGTGAATTTGTGGTAGTATAGCAGCATTAGTCTAATCTTTTGCAATTGCCAATTACCAAAAATGTGCATAGCCTGTTGAACATGTGACCTCAGTTTACTGTACCATTCGAACAGTTAATGGACAAAAGTAAATATTTTTTTAATAGATTTTGTTTCACTCACCCAAAACTGAAAGCAGGAGATGGTCTTTGTATCTGAACCCATAAACTTATTAAACACGTAAGGATGCTGAAAATACAAACAGTGGCATATAATCATAATGTAACAATATAAATAAATTAATGATAAGGTAGATCTTAATATAACACATAAGAATGCTTAGGGATGCATATAGAGTCTCAATTTCCAATATTCAATGACATTGTGCTTGAAGATGAAATGATGCAAAAAGAAGTCATACTGGTAGATATTCTCTATACAAATATAAATGAAGCCTTTTACAAAGCCTTGTGTGATCGATGGGAACAATTGCTTTTAAGAGCCAAGTAATTTTTTCCCTGTTAAAGGGATAGTAAAAAGGTTTCTAAAATTTTTATGTGGATTGGGGACACGGATAGAATCAATTTGCATCATTTCAATTTTAAACGTTTGTGGTTCCTTCAATTCTATACAAACTTAGCAATTCATGACGTCACTAATCGCGATTATGCTTTGTGATTTTGCAATTAGTGACATAATAAAACGCTTAGGTTTAGTGGAATTGCAGGAACCACAGATGTCGGATTGAAAATTTAAATGGTGCATATTGATGCTATCTGTGTCCTTGATACACATAAAAATTTCAAAAAAACCTCTTTACAACCCCTTAAGAGAAATGAATTTAGATTTCAGCGATATTTGAAACTCAAGGTAATAATATGTGTATAAAAACGTAAACATACCTGAATATATCAAATATAGTAAGATATGTGTATGCTGTTAATGCTACAATAGAAAACAATATATATTATTATCACTTACTTCAGTTCTGTTTCCAAAATGAATATATGTAAATAGTCTTCAGAAGTACTAGAAATGTACGAAAAACCAATAATTCCTTTAAAAATACTTCAAACTAGGAATTTTACTCACTATTACTATATTGTCTTTTCAGAGTACAGAGTATCTTAAATTGATGAGTCATCATTTCAACATTCAAATGCAGATAATTCTGGACACACATGGATTTGAAAGTTCAAATTTCGACAGTGAGCTATGAACACTGATTAGACTAAAGTATGATTAGTTAAAACAAATAATGCATCTGTCCCTTTAAAATTAAAGATACATACCCATACTGTTTGTAGCATGACACCATAGTAACAATATAACAGTACTAATAATATTAAATATTAAAAATAAACAGATTTTCTTGGCTTCTGGTATTTGTAAGACTGAAATTATCTCCCTTTTTAACATACGGATGAAGGAAGGACGTGGTGTAAAAGGATGTATTGTTCCCTGAAAAAATACAAATGCGTTACTCTTTATTGATCAAAAATTGTCATCCTTTTGTTAAAAAAACCACCGATAAACTAATTTTATTTTGCCTTCGAGGTAGATTAAAGAGACATATGACCAGGGGGTTGATTTGGGTCTTGAATATATGTAAATAGTTTGCAGAAGTACTTGAAAAGTACGAAAATCGCATAATTTCTTCGAAAAAACCTCAGCTAGGATTTTCACTTTCTATTTCAATATATGTATGGCAGAGTCTCAAGAAACGTAGATAATTCTGGACACAGGTGGATTTGAAGGCTCAAATTTTGACGGCAAGCTGTTAACACCATTACTGATTAGCTTAGCTAAAAAATTCCCATTTCTGACAATAAGGTAAGATTGTTCAAACGGATTGTTCAAACGGATGGCAAACCTGATCTGCTAACTCATTGGCTAAGGCTTAAGTTCATTTCCCAAACGCCCAAAACATGAAAGTTCAATCTAATAAGGTCTACTTACAGAAGTATAGCCTGTTTCATGTCCTTCATGTAACAATGATCCTGTAAACAGAGATAAAATGTATATCTTAATTTTAGTTATGGAATACTATACAGTAATGTAGCAAACACTATCACTGGTGAAAATGGAACAGTAAACAATCATTTTTATTTTGGCTATACTGAAAAAGGCTGAATGGTGTAAGTTAGTTATTTTTAAGGATAAGTACTTAATTAACTGGATTATGGAGGAATTCTGTTGTATTTAATTAATTAATTATACTTTTCTTTTCTTATTGACAAAGTCTAACAATCTTAGAATGTGAGGTCACAGACACTCTTCAAGCTAATTAACAGATTAATCACCTGATTTGTTCAGATCAACAGTTACACTACTGCTTATAAGATCTGGGATTGAATTGTAACCACTCATTATTGGTGTTCACTTATAACTCAATTAACTTAAAAATACATCAACATCTGTAAATATTTCAACAAAGTAACACTCTTGTCGTGTTGTCAGTTGTAGAGTTGTCTTTCCATTTTTCATTGATGGTGGCAGTAAAGATTTTAGACCAACAAGGTCGCTTAAGTAACTCGTGGAATAAAAAAATCATTGTCAGAATTTTGATGTATTTACAATATTTATAGTTGATATTACAAACGTTAGTTACATAGAGAAATTCAACAAAAATTCAACACCTACGCACCTAAATTTGGTCATAATCTAAGATGATGAAATAGTTCTATTGCTTCGTTTCTGATTGAAAATTTAGGTTTATATTTAAGGGAAGCCAAAATGTCTGCGCCCGGCGACGAGGACGATGAAAGATTACTTACGACAGATTACTATTCCCTGCTTAATGTCAGTCGAGATGCCAAGGAAGATGAGATCACTAATGCCTTCAGACAGCTTAGTAAAATCTACCATCCTGACAAACATTATACTCCCAGGAAAAAGAAGCTGGCACAGAATCTGTTCACAAAAATCAAACATGCTCATGAAGTTTTGAAGGACAAACACAAAAGAGCAATATACGACATGTATGGGGAAAGTGGTTTGAGGACTGAAGATCTGGAAGTCATTTCAAGGACCAAATCACCAGCAGAAATCATTGCTGAATATGAACGGCTACAAAGAGAGAGGGAGGAGAGACGACTGGAACAACGAACCAATCCTAAAGGCAATATATCTGTTACTGTCAATGCTACAGACCTGTTTGACAGTTATGACAGTGAATATGATTATTACAGTGCATCTACATCTATTGACATTAGTGGTATGAGTGTATCTCAATCAGTCGAATGTCCATTAACTGTAAAAGATACTGTCATAATAGGTGGAGAGCTGAGCACCCACAATGGCACTGGTGATGGCATATTTGTTACAACATGGCGACGGTTAACATCAGATAAAAGCTGGGCGGAACTGGAAATGGGAGTTGGTGGACAAATGAGCGGAAGTGTCAAATTTTTCAGACAGATTTCTCCCCCCTGTTTTTTAACAATTGCAGGTGGATTGCAACAAGTAAGAGGTGGATTTAAACCAACCCTTGTTTCTCTATTAGCCTACCAATTTGATAAAAACCTTCAAGGGCGTATAACCTGGAATGCCCTAGCTCCATCATCAGTAGCCACCACCATAAGTTACAGCAGTGAAAAGAATCATGCATTATTTACCGTACACATTGGCATCAAGAATTCCTTCCTATCAGCAAGTTACACAAGAAAACTGCTTGAAGATGAGGGCAGGATTCGTGGAGCGTTTAGAATTGGTACTTATGGCTACGTTATAGAGTATGGTGTTGAGAAAAAAATCACTAAATTCAGTTTTTTGAAAGCAACAATGGTTGTTGGACTGCCTGTTGGAGTTGTGGTAAAGTTCCGATTAATGAGAGGCAATCAGACTTTTAATTTTAGAGTTAATTTGTCTGAGGGATTAAATCCATCTGCTGTTTTTTATGGAACTATTCTGCCATCACTTGCGTATTTTGGAATTCGGAAAATGATTATCATGCCATATCTTAAGCGCCAAAAAGAGAGAGATATAGAACGTAAGAGGTCTGAAAATGCCGAAAAATTGTCTGAAAGAAAAAAGGAAGCTGAATCTGCAATTGAATTAATGAAAGAAAGCTTTGAACGCTGTATAGAAATAGAAGAAAAGAAAAATGGTCTGATCATTATTCAGGCGTTGTACGGAAATCTGGAAGCGTCGGAAAGTTCGGAACTGTACATCGATGTTACGGTACCAGTACAAGTGTTAGTAAAGGAATCAAAATTAATATTAACAGACAATTCAACAAGGAGTTATCTCCCTGGATTTTACGATCCGTGTATTGGTGAAGACAACAAATTATTTATTCGATACAAATTTCATCATCGCTTACATCAAGTGACTCTTTCAGATAACGAGCCAATAAGATTGCCTCAGCAAAAACATTTTATGAAAGATGAGTTAGGAGGTTCAAGCACCCGATCATGATGTAGTGATTTGTGACAGCTCATTCTAAGACTACTTCAACGAGAATTCATTTAGTGCTTTGCTACGTATCTGGCAATTTCTTTAAAGCGACAGCTTTGCCATCTGTTTGACCTATCGTACCTTAGTCTCAGATAGAAGCAGGTATTTGTTAGCTAAGCTAATCAGTAATAGCAAAATCAGGATTTTAAGATATACAGTAATCTGATTGGATAATAAAACTAAATTTACCATTGATTTTAGTGATTGACCTATCAGATTACGGAACATAAAAATCATCTTTAGTTAAGTTTCCGAGAATAGGGTCACTGGACGTTAGCCTCACAAATATCTCTGTTCTACTTTATAATAGTACAGTTGCAATAGCCATTATTCAAACGTGTGTTCACATTTCTTTATGACTTAATAAAATGCAATTGGAATGCAATGTTGGTTGTGAACAATGTAGTATTATGAATGAACTTTTATTGTTGAACATTATCAAGATAATCGACCCCCTGTTATTGTATTAGTTTGAAGTAAATAAATGAAAAAAAAATGTTATTGTTTGTTGTTTTTTTTTTTGTTAATCCAAATATCATTTTTATATGATCCAAATTTGAAAACAAATAAAAAATATGCTCACAAATATTTTTAAGTCAGAAAAACGTTTTTTTTTTTTCGCTTTTCCATATGCATTCTTCATGAAATTTTTTTGCTCAAAACCTCATTGGAATAGGGCATTTTTGAGAGTGACTGATATCCCAATTGGACCTTGAAGCAAATTTTCAAAAGAAGTCACACTAATGATCTTATTTCACAAGTGACAGTAAACTAAGTTTTACTTAAAGATGGGTTTCCTTTTTCTAAATGTCAAATTAAGCAAACTATTTGATTGATTGGTGTTTCTAATGAATTATCATGTATTCTTCATCATATCATTATGTTCTTATTGCATATAATTAAGAGTTTTAACCAATCATAATTGTCCATGTATGTACAGTCTGGATAAACAAAAAGAATACTTTTTGACCTTTCTTGATCGGTCACTCTTCTAATTTAGCTAATTATGAATTAATTATTGACATGTGAGACAAACTGGTATTTTTCCAAGTCATTAGAACACGTCTACTTTCTATTCATATAAGTTTCCTTTTCATAAATGAAAATTAGGAAACCAATCTTTCACATGAAATCGGTTTCATAATTCAACATTCTTTTTGACAGGCTACAACCCTCCCTTTTCATAAAAAATTAAGAAAACAGTTATAAAATTCTAACTTTATACATAAAAACCTTAACAATAATAATTAAGATGATTCTATAAATGTACAAAATCAGACCCATGTTAATATTTGATTTCAAATATGGTAGACATCATAATTTTTAACACACAGCCATTTAGGTTAGTTATTTGAAGTCCAGTCTCATTTAGGCTACATATATACCCATTTTCACAAGTATATTATGTCCAATACCTTGACATCATAAGACATTTTTTGTATTGCAGAAGGATGTATATGGAGCAATTTATTTGAATACTGTCAATCAGAGCCCTCGAAAGAAAGAATGAATTGCATTTCTGTTGAGGAATTTGATTAGCATTGTTTGCTTGCCTACAATTTGATTAAATGGCTCCATATACAAGAACAGTGCCTAATGTCATGGGATTACACAGTTTGTAATACTGACATTGTGAAAATGTTCACAGTGTTTAATGCCTTGACATACCCTGTGAAGATGCATATAACCAAATCTGACAAGGAATTCTTATGAAGCCATTTTCAAAGCTAAAGCTGACTGTCAAATGCACCAATGTCAATTGAACACCATGATCACACAATTCTTTCACACTGTCAAATCACTTGTCAAATCAATATAACTTTTCTACTTTCTTATTAAAATGTACACCCCATGCTTTATAATCAGCGTCTTTGATGCCTTCAAACCCCATCTTATCAGCTGACCAATAAAAGGCTGAAAAATAAATGATCGAATGAATCAAATACAGCTTGGCCTCTGTGCAATAATTCCTGAATTAAATATTTTGCGATGAATGAAACTTAGTTTTAGTGGAATTGCAGGAACCACTGATTAAAAATTAGAATGATGCATTGATGCTGTTATACATTTCTAGTACTTCTGAAGACTATTAACATATATTCAAGACTCAAATCAACTCCCCAAAATGGCGCACCTATCCCTTTAAGTCATTAGCCTTCTTATTTGAAGAATAGGTAGATAATTATCATATACTTTGAAAGAAAAAGCTAACCTTTTAATACACGAGGATTTTTTTGATACATCATATATCTGTGGTCTGAAATAAAAAGTTATCAAAATTTATTATTGGAATAACATACTTATAGGCTTTTAAAGATGGGTTCCCTTATTTTCATTTATAAAAGTGAAAATTCTAAAACTTATATAAATAGAAAGTAGAGGTATTCTAATGGCTTGGAAAAATACCAGTTTGTCTCACATGTCCATAATTAATTCATAATTAGCTAAATTAGAAGAGAATTACCAGCAGAATTCCAATGAGTGACTGATCAATAATGGTCAAAAAGTCTTTTTTTTTTTGTTTATCCAGACTGTACATACATGAGCATTTATGATTGGTTAAAACTCCTAATTATATGCAATAAGAAAATAAAGATATGATTAAGAATACATGATAATTCATTAAAAACTCCAATTTGTCAAATAGTTTGCTTAATTTGACACTAAAAAAATAAGGAATCCCATCTTTAACCTATTATGAAGGAATGGAATTAAAACCATTTGTAAGAAAAACAAATTAAAACCATTTGTAAGAAAAACAAATTACAATCCATTTTGAACAGAGACTTTGTAGCATCTGGATAATCCAGGCAACAGTATTTGAATTATTGTAGAAAAAGACTTGCCATGAAAAAGTGAGTCTTTGAAGTCATGTTTTACAGCTTTCGATTAAGAACTTGTTTTTGCACTGTTTTATGCCGAATTACTTAATCAAGATGATTTTTAAATTAACTTTAAAAAGACAGATAAATACTGCCATCACAGTAATTAGGAATGCTTAGGTACAATAATTTAGTACTGTACAAGTTCTTTAAGACTAACATACCCTTGATAAATGATTTATCATAAATCATACAGCCTACTTACTTGGGAACCACATCACTTACCTTGACTACGATTCATTTTCCTCCATTGATAATAACAAAATCCAAAAAGCACTAATTCTCCAAAAAGGAAAGTCTTTAGACCCAGGAAAGAACCTTTTTTTGAGTAGGAATTCGCTCTTGGTTCCTTCATCAACATTTTGCAAGTACCGGTATTTTTATTTCTTCAATAGGCTTAATTCTTATAGTTGATATAACAAAACTGAAATTAAAATTAAAATAAGTAAATAAAATGATTACAATGATAACGTACCAGTATTAAGAAACGCAGGCTGAAATAGATCAAAACATTCGCATAACAACAGGTTTCATTTTCTCAAATTTATATCTGTGCAATTAATCAATTAATTGGTATCCTCTTACTTTAAAATTATTGCCGGAACCTGATAGCCTAATCTGGAATTGTGTACATATATATAGAGAATTTCCTGACTAAATCTTGCTTTTGGATAATGCAAATAAATATTAGGTAGCCTAAAGGTGTCATTAACTCATAATTTCCGATGATGACTGCGAACAGGGTATTTGCTGTTGTCTGTAGCAATGCACGTTCATTATAATTGTCCCTTTTAAAATAAGTTATGACAAATCACCTTTGTTTGTAAATTGGTCAAGGACTATCTTGATTCTTAATAATAAATTGGGTGTCACTTTAATGGTTCGTCAAATTCATTTTAATACAAATAATCGGATTTTAGTGGAAAGGTTACAAATTTCGTCAGAAGTTAACTCAGTTCAGTTATCTCCCTTGAGCCTCGACTAATTTTAGAAAACCCCAAAATGAGAAACGAAGATACAAAACTACGTTTAAAGATACAATAGGCCTACTTCGATTTTAAACATTAATTCAGATTAGAAAACTATCAACGTCTTAACAAACATCCATTTAAAGTAAGAAAAATGCTAAATTTTACTCTTCATTGTGTCATTTTTGTAGAAGCCTACAGACCACAACTAAAAGTCGAAATATTTTTAGTTTAAAACTTTCAGATAGGTCTAAGGGAAAAATTAGTTTTCATTAATTTGAGCACGTAAAAATCCATTTATTTTCGTTTTTCCAAATTACTCAAATCAGACCGCCCCTTTAATTTGAAAGAAAAAACAATAAATAAAAATAGATGAAAAAAATTCAATTCACAATTAAAAAAAACTGAATGGAATGAATATGTTTCCAGTTATTTTTCTTTTGTCACTAAGAAAACATTTTTATTTAGGTCTCGCATAAGTATGTTCGTAATTAGCCCACCAAACAGTGGAGAAAGTCTGAAGGGAGTCTATCCCCTAGAATTATGGTATGTGCCCTAACTGTATCTGTCTAGTAGGCCTAAAATTTATGAAAAATTTCAGAGGTGTGAATCTGAAATTCTCTGCAAAAATGGTTTTTTTTACTTAATATCTCATTTAAAGGAAGTAAAATGGATAGATTTTCCATGTCCTCAGAATCTGAAGTTATAAAACCTAAAGACCTCAGACTATGCTCTCATCACCATATCGAACACCACAGTTTGCAATTATCAGCGTATAGAAATAAAGGAGTTGCGTCCCCTTAACTGTAGTTAGTAAAAACTTTGCTAAACTATATCAAAGGTATGTTATAAACCGAAACAGCTGCCTCTATTCCAACCTCTGATAAATATTGTGCATTTTGGTGTAGAGACAGAAATCCTAGGCCTTGGTTTATGGGAATTTCTCCGCATCTCCGTGGTATCTTGATATTTGTGAGCGACATGGAGCGACTGGTGGTATCTGGGAGCGACTGATGTTATGTGGGAGCGACCTGGAGCGACTGGTGGTATCTGGGAGCGACTGATGGTATTTGGGGGCGACCTGGAGCGACTGGTGGTATCTGGGAGCGACTGATGGTATTTGGGAGCGACCTGGAGCGACTGGTGGTATCTGAGAGCGACTGATAGGATGATATTTGGGAGCGACCTGGATGGAGCGACTGCTGGTATCTGGGAGCGACTGGTGGTATCTTAAAGTGACTAGTAGTATCTTGGAGAGACTGATGGTATCTGGGAGCGACTGATGGTATCAGGGAGCGACTGATGGTATCTGGGAGCATCTGATGGTATTTAGGAGCGACCTGGAACGACTGATGGTATCTGGGAGCAACTGATGGTATCTGGGAGAGACTGGTGCATCTGGGAGCAACTCAGGTGTATCTGCTGGTTGTTAGGAGCGACTGATGGTCACTTTCATAGTCAGCTGTTATAATATATTCTGTCGTCAAATTCGAAAGGATATAATCGTACGATTTATAACAGTATTTGTCTGCTTCACTGATTCGAATATAAACTATTATAATTAAATTATTATACCATACTAATACATAATGTATAATTAAAATACAATGGATTTGATATTATAGGTATCATTAGTCAGACGACTAAGTGTCAATGATGTATTAATGAAAATTGAATCAGAAAAAATATTCTAATAATGTAACATATAAAACGAATTCGTATACAGTCGCTTTAGTATAGTATAAGATATTGCGATTTTTTTTCAAATCCAAACGTTGTCCTTAAGTTACTGAAACTCTAACTGTAGTAGGCATATTTTATTTTGGTGATGTATATTGTCAGTATATTCTACAGATCTAAGGAAAATCTTTTGAAAGCTTGCATAAGTTTCTTCAAAAAAAGCATGTTATATTGCGCATCTTGTAAGCAAACTTAAAGTCTGTAATTGCGTAACTTTAATTTCTACTGTAATACTACACTGTAAAAATCTTCCGTAAAATTAAAAGGTTGTAACGTAATAAAATCGAGAATATTTCCATTTTTCTTGCCATATTTCCACTGAACCAAGAAGACGAAAGGAAATTCTAATTGTTGAATTATTGTTATTCAAAAAAAGTATCTCATTTAAACCAAAGCAAAAGCTGTCTAACTAAATAGTTACAGTAGTACTACACTGTAAAAACCTTCCGTAAATTTAACTGTTTATTACGTAATACACTCGGGCATATCATTAAGTTAATATTCATAAATTACATTTAGTTTTGTTTCGTTACCAAAATAGAAAATTGGCCAAATCAGAAAAAAAATGTAATAATTGTGTCATTTTCGTTTATTATTATTCTGAATATAACGAAAATAAAATTCTAATTTTTCCATATCATATATATCTGCAAATGTTCGAGCTAAGAATTACATCCTGTGCCCCACCTTAACTAATTCCAAAATTTACCCATAGCCATAGAGATGGGCCGAAGTTATCAAATTCTGATATTTTCTGATATCTGTCCAATCGCAGAGTGTTTGATTACATTCTGACCCTACATACATTACACTACATTTGAATTTCAAACACGCACACACATACAAAAAACACTTCAGTGGACTAAAATATCTCGGAATAACCTTAACTGACCCTAGATTGACCCCGACATACACATGTGAAATATTATTCGAGCAGGCGATAAGAGGCGACCAACTGCGCAGGCCTTCATAATTCACGATGCAACTTTTTTTTTTATCGTTCCTTCCTTTCACGATAACATCTCCCATGAGGTTTTGAGTTGGTTTTTATTTCTCTCAAAGCAACTGCATGATTGGTTGACAGATAATCATTGAATAGCCATCCTTCTTGATCAATGTGACCTTTAACCTTTACCCTCGTGATGACCAACAGTCAAATAATGCTGTGGTTTATGAATGGTATTGCACACTGGCCTCGGATTCGATATTGTGCAGTATTGGTTGATATTTTTGCTACACATTTGAATGATTCTAGGCATAATTTAGATCGAATACATGCCACGTCAAGTCGAATATAGATAGGAGTTAACCTAAATCAATAAAAATTGTATAATGTCCATGTAAACACCGTCTTATCTCGCTCTATTTCTAGTAAATAATATTCTTAACAAGGTCACATGCTGATGGCTAAAACGAGGCTCTCACCTTTTGACCCTTAATGTAACTGCCTGTCCTTACGCAACCTTGGAGGCTTTCCCAGAATCGACCAATCGTAAGTTACCTAAGGTTCGTGATGTCACTGGCTCGTGAAATATTGACGTAGTGGTGTGGATGTAAGAAGCTCAGCGATTGGTTAGCTAACTTGAGTTACGTGATACGGGAAGCCGCATAGCATTAGGTTGGCCGAACAGGCGTCAAGCGAGGTCAATGTTGAAATTACACGAGAGAACGAGAGAGTGAACGAGAGGGAGGTGATTACGACTTGTTACGGAATTATTACAGCACGTTCTTGCAGCATATCACACATTAAGGTGAATTCAAGGGGGATAACTATTACATAACAGGAGGTAAGTTGCGCAATTTTTATCCGTTATTTTAACAGTGTTTGTTTACAGTGTATTTATTGAATTGAAGATGTTGTTTCTTTACTGAGTAACGGATTGTTGTTTACTGTTGGGCAACAATACACAGTTGACCTCGCATAGTGGACTGGCCGCCACTTAATATACTTTTACTTTGAGTTTTTACATTCGGCTATGATCTATAGGCCTAATATAATTAATGAAATTTTGAGAATTTTTTTCTCGTGTTTTTGACCAAAATTCTCTGTTTACCGAAATTGATGTGAATGACACAATCCAGTACTCTATAGAATTTTTTCCTATTATCATTTAAAAGAATTAAGTTATAAATTATCAATAATTTGAATATTATGTCGTAGAACATTTTTGAAAATGTGTAGGTTTATCCCATTTGAATTATGTTTATGCTAATAATTAATAACATCATGTTGAATCATTATGTTACTAATGACATAAGTTTTTTTTTATATCATGCTTTGATACTGCATTCCGGAAATAAATGACATTGATAGTCACGAATTACAATATCAAAGAATCATTTATGTGTATGATACGAAAGGATTATACCCATCAAAATTACCATTGATAAAAATACATGTATATAGGTATAATATTCATTGCTTTCGGCGTTAGAAGTGTAATATTTCGCCATCTAATTTGTCGTGTGTCGTGGATTTTTTTCTTGTTGATGTAAGCTTATGTTATTTTTTTCATTGAAAGTATTAGGTTTTTAAAGTATGCTTCCAGTTTTTAAGTATCATACTTCTAAGATTTGATTTAATCGTTAAAAGAAGTGGCGAAGCAGTTTTTAATTTTTAATTTTCTAGAACTTATAGATTTTTTCATGCTTCGTGAATATGTAAGTTTTGAAAATCATTATTATTTTTTTAATTGAAATTCTCACTAAATTTTCAGGTTTTCAAATTCTATTTTTAAAGTTTTGAAATTCGAATTTGTTCAGATCATCAAGTTTTGAATTCTCAGGGTTTCTCAAATTGTTTAAATAGATTTTGAAAGGTATTGAATTCTCATTAAGTTGTTAGGTATTGAAATTCTCATTGAATTCTTTGGTTTTGAAATTCTCATTTTATTCTTTGGTTTTGAAATTCTCATTTCATTCTTTGTTTTTGAAATTCTCATTGAATTCTTTGGTTTTGAAATTCTCATTTCATTCTTGAGTTTTGAAATTCTCATTCCATTCTTTGTTTTTGAAATTCTCATTCCATTCTTTGTTTTTGAAATTCTCATTGAATTCCTAGGTTTTGAAATTCTCATTTCATTCTTGGGTTTTGAGATTCTCATTTCATTCTTTGGTTTTGAAATTCTCATTTCAATCTTTGGTTTTGAAATTCTCATTTCATTCTTGGGTTTTGGAATTCCCATTGAATTCCTAGGTTTTGTAATTCTCATTTCATTCTTGAGTTTTGAGATTCTAATTTCATTCTTTGGTTTTGAAATTCTCATTTCAATCTTTGGTTTTGAAATTCTCATTTCAATCTTTGGTTTTGAAATTCTCATTTCATTCTTGGGTTTTGAAATTCTCATTGAATTCCTAGGTTTTGAAATTCTCATTCAATTCTGAGGTTTGAAATTTCAAAAACGACCCCACGGTAATGTCTTCACCCCAAGGAGCATGTTAATTTTGGTCAATTGAAATCAAGCTCGGCTGAAATATAGTTTTAATTAAAGTTTCATATTATCATTCATTATATTTAAACCTAATAACCTCAAAAAAGATGCATGATACACGAAGATTTCACGCATTGAATGATATCATTACGGGGTTTCATAATGTCATGAATATCACACCAGGTATTCTAGAACACCTGATAACACCCTGATCGATTATGTGGACATTTTACACTAAAATCAGTTAAATAGAGCGCATACATCCTGAACAATTAATCAAATACATATAGTATACTTAAGTGTAAAGAGTATCGATTAGTCAGTGTTGAATTCGTCCTAATAATTTTTAACACAAATATAACAGAACACCTGATGATATTCCGCTTCTGGTTTGGTTGTTCATGTTATATACCTAAAAGCAAGGTGTTTGTATATTATACAATGCATTGTGTATTTATTATATTATCAATGAACTTGGTGATACTGTTGCTATAATAGAACACCTGATGGCAACTAGCTTTTGGTTCTTCATGACTTATGAGTTATTTACAGATGCATTTGGTCATTTCAACGCCAAATAACACTCAAATATTATATAAAACAATGAATCAAATGATAATTTTACAAGGCCTGAACACCTGATGGCATTTCGCTTTTGTTTTTTGATAACGTATCGATTGTATTATCAAACCCAAATAATACACAAATACAAAGCATGAATTATACAAAACAATGAATCGAATGATAATTTTGAGGGGACAAAATACTCGATGACTTCCGCCTGTGGTAGGTCATGATTTCAATAAACGTATCGATAATATTGAAAACAAACAAACAAACAAACAAACAAACAAACAAAACGTATACCTACCTATAAAATAATAATGAATATGATATCTATACGAGATGTCACAATGTCATGAATATAACGATTTGTTTATTTGTTTATCTTTGGCATTTTTTCATTGTTTTCTTCTGTCATTGTCCTTTGTTGATTGTTCGGAATATTTTGATTAAAATCACATCGATACAATTGAATACAATATAATTTTGACAAACGGGATATATTTCTATGTTAGACCTATTCTATTCTATATCAAACGATATGAAACAATACAATGTATTTACCAATGTATAAGTATATTATTACATGCATATAATAACATAATAATGCATTATTGCTTTTATTATTATATCATACGTATTATTATCGTGTCTAGCGTGTCTAACTAGCAGACTGTACTTGGAACAATAGCAGTTGTCTGTGGTAATATCATAGAAGCACAATGGGAATATGTAATTTAAAAGATATTAAGATTTCAACATTGTATTTTTGACTTTTTTAGAATTTGTTCAATTGTCATGCTATACTATCAAATTGATCTGACTAAAAACATTTGATATAGAATAGTGCAATGTCTGACATGCTTACAAGGAGACAAAGAGGACAGATGACTAATCAATCTAAAATCTTATGGTATGGAAAATAATTGAATATAATTAAGATAAGAATTTTTTTTTTGTCTGCTTTAGTTGGTTCAGTAAGCTTTTGTGTTGGCGAGTTGGATCGTTTGCGATTAGGTGAGGTGGGTTCGAATCCCCCTTTAGGTAAGAAAAATTTTGATTCCCATGCCAGGGCCTCCGAGAGTCGATCTGGTGTGTAACCTACATAAAGACCCTATTTGAACCATCCTAATTTCTGGTCTTCGTTTATGTACGAATTGAAGTCAAATAAACGCCTAACAGAGAAATATGAGTATGAAAAAATCGCCATGCATTCCTCCTCCATAGAGAGTTATATTAAGATTATTAAACGTGAATGTTTCATTACAGTATTAGATTTCACAGTTAATATTTCAAAGTCCAGTTAATGGTCAATTAGTCCGAAACTTGCTGACCTTTCATTGATAAACGCCGATAACTGGACTCGATCGATAGCTGGGCTCGATTATTTAAGAATACCTCGGCTTGCTAGTCAGAAAATCTTTTGTCGTTGGTTATGCAGATTCAGCGGTACAACACCAGCATGACTAGTACCTAAATGAATACTTTATTATACGCAATATTGGCTTATGATATTGCTATCGTTGTTGAAGTATTGAATCGACAGTTGCAAAAACTGCTCTAAGTGGCTTTAAGGACGCATCCATCTAGCCGCCATGAGTGTCCTTTGTGTGCGATTCTAGTAGGCTGAAATAATGAAAGCTACGATTTCAGGATGGCAAGAGTTGGTATGTTTCGGATTATAATGGTCAGTTGATGAATCATCTCCATGTAACTCTATACTTGATTATCAACATTTTTAATGTTTGAAATTTCTCGAGTTTTGTTCACCATACTTTAACTACCGATATGGATAACTTTTGTTTTAAACCCAAAGACAAGAGTACACGATACACGTGTGAGGATATATTTTTTCATTTATCTTTGCCATGCAGCAGCCAGGGACGGTTTTATCAGTTATGAGCATTTGACCAATTGGTTTTAGTTGGGAACCAAACTTACCTTTACGAAATTTTTCTCATTTTTATTTATTTTTTTTAAGAGAAAGGAAAAAAAATTATAATCGGAGTCAAAGGAAACCTTACACCTCTAATCCAACTGACCACGCCCCAATGGTCCTGGCTTTTTGTCCCATCTTCAAGAACGATTTTCCTCGACCATCACTGACAAAAGCAAATAATTCTCAAAATTATAACCGAACCGAAATGAAATAGGTTGATTAGTTGATTTGTTGCAAAGAAAACTAATAGTTATTCATTCATGTTTACCGCAAAACCTTTTTTTTTTATTTTGTGAGAATCCACCTTTAAGGCACACAATATCCACGTATTATACCTAATATAGGCTTACCTCTGACATTACAGGAACATAAAAACAAAGTGAAATCTTATATTTGTTAGGAAAAAATAATGTCTATTTTAACTGACGTATTGCGTAATGATTTTTATAGACTTTACAAAGGCGTTTGATTATAGAAACCATTGGTTATAACACGTGACAAGGATGTATGTAAATAATGGAAATACATGAAAGCGATGCCAATACTGCGGAAACCGTCAGCTTACATCCTACTTTTCTCTGCCTGTTTCGGCTAATGAAGACGGATAGTTGCAATAAAGCATGTGACAGAGAAAATATTTTTCTGTTATCCAAGAAAAACTTATCATTAGTATTGCGCCATTATCGCAATAAATATCATTCAAGCAAATTGATGACGTCATAATCTGGCAAAGTTCTTCTGAAATATCAGGACGTATCACGGTCGAATGCTTATTGATTCTGTCTTTTATAGGCTACATAATGCTTTTTGATATGAGTCGGAGACATCTGTGTTTGAGTTAAATGAGAAATAGAGGCGAAAACCAAATCATTGTAAGAAAAACAGAGCAGGCAAGCCATTTCGACTTGTTCCACATTATAAGTATTGTAAATAGGGTTGAATTTAGAAAGTAAAGCTATCTCAGTATAGATAAAATTGAAACGCAGTATAAGATAATGACTTTCATATCAGCCCTGTTGACTGAATTTATATGTCCGGTTTCTTGACCGCTGGTCAGTTTGGGGCGTTCGAGTGGAAGGGTATAGAATATCAAAAATCAAAAAGGTTTTAGGTGGAATAGGATAGTAAACGAGAGCCAGAAAGTTTCTAAAAGTTTGATAACAGTATAAGTTATTTATTGTGTAAGCGTCATTTAATTTAAAACATTTACTGACGATTTGTGTATATCCGGAACATGGTTAATCTTGTTCAGTAGCTTGTTTGTTACGCTCACGGATAAGTCTGTCGAAAATATAATCGTTGAATTGCACCCCCCCCCCCTCCTTTACAGTTAATATGTTGGCCTCTAACTGACCGCTCGTCTGTGTCCACCAGTGACGTAGAATTATGTAAATAGACTGGACTGAATGTAAACAAATACCTAATGTAAACAAAACACAAACAGGTCAGGTTATGACCTCACAACTCACGTTTTGACTGCATCTATCCAGACCAAAACAAATATTTGATTTCCTTATCCTGGACCTGGTCAAATTTACACAATTTTCCATTATGACGACAGGGCTTACATGGTGGTACATGGTGAAGGTAAAGGTTTTGGTTTAGTTGAGACAATTTATATTTACAATGAGCATACGAAATTATAGTATTCAACTAGTAGTAGATTATGACACGATAACACTGAGCCACCATTGATTTCAAATGCCCCAGTGATTTTTGCCCTTAAAGGGACAGGAGCGCCATTTTTGGGGGTTGATTTGAGTCTTGAATATTTGTGTTAATCTTCAGTAGTACTAGAAATGTACAAGAACCGCATAATTCCTGCAAAAATATCTCTAACTAGGAATTTCTTTTCTTTTATCTATAGGATGTCTTTTCTATAAATGGCAGAGTGTCTCAAGACAAGACGACTCGCCTTTGTAACTTTCAAACGCGGATAAATCTGGACACACATGGATTTGAAGGCTCAAATTTCGACGGTGAGCTGTGAACACTATTACTGATTAGCTCAAAAATTCCCGTTTCTGAGACTAAGGTATGATTTGTCCAAAAAATGGCGCATCTGTCCCTTTAAGTGTGCTTAGTATTGCATATGATTATTCTACCAGTGTAAACTTTCACTTATTCACTGATATTCACAATCGTATCAACTCACAACAATCTAAGATGGTTATACAATGTTACAGAGAACTGTGCTTAGAATGATAGAAGTATTTCTGTGGTCAGAATGTAGAGAATAGGGGAATTGTGTTCGGACATTACCAATGTGTCAGGTGTTGTGTTGATTTTATCGGTTGTCAATATGAATGATCTAATCCTTATAATAATATCACACTATAATAGAGAATATTATCAATAATGTTACATTGTCATTTGAAGAGGTCATTCTGAGGTCAAACTCTGAGGTGAAACT